AGCTTGTAAAAGCCACTGGCCATAGGTCTGTGGTAGATTGACTTTTATTTGAGGATGTCCCCATTACATTGTCAGCTGATGAACATAATGCTTGATATTAGATGGAATGATATATAAAACTATCCAAAGCACTAGAACATCCTATCAATTTCTACCAACCTATGCAGCTAATTTATAAAAACTAACCTTTTATTTTGAATTATTTAGAAACTATGTGCCAAATTTATCACTTTTATGCCTTCATGCTTTCAGATTATTAGTACAATTTGAGGTTAAATTGCTTCTTGTACAAGCTTTGATGAAGCTCTAATTCATCTCTGATTGGCCCAGTACTGAGCATCAACAGAGATATAAAGGTTATGCTTATAATAGCATTTGGAGATGATGACATCTGAATTTAATTTCTACCGAGCTAGAAAAGTGACTTTACAAATAGTCTTAAGTCATCAGAGGATTATAGCCTTTTGCATTAGCAACTGCAGTACAGCAATCATAATCAAACTATCTTGTGAGGAATGCTACATACGCAGCTACTACCATGAGAAGGTAGCATGATGTGAAGTGACTTATGAAGAATGAGATATATTTTTATAGCATTGCAGATAAAAAAATGTAAGGGAAGGAATACTCAAACAGTGTAAAGGATATTCTGCATGCAAGCTTTCATGAATTACTGCTCTAGAACAGTTACCCATCAGAGTAATTTAAAAGTATCACCTTCTAAACCTTAGGATTAAAAGGTTGTTTAGTTAACACTATTAAGTCGAATTGCTAAAAATGATATGACTCATGCAAAATGATTAAAACTTGATTTTTTTTAAAAAAAATCCTTTTCAGCAAAGGAAATGATCATTAACTCCCTTGGAAGAAGACACTGCAATATTTCATTGGTTGCTTCAATCTTGCGATGCCTATAAAGAATATAATGCTGAAAATGTGCTTTCAAGGCTAAACTGAGTTCTCTCCAGTATATAATCAATTAATCATTAAAGTGTGTCTATGTTTGAATCAAGTTTAAAAGCTGTCACCAGACTTTTAAGTGGATCACATACTTTGGGCCAGATAGCAAAAACAGGAAAACCACAATGCCAGCTTTAGCTAGTATGTGTATGTTTTGTTTACACCTGCTTGGAATGGAAGTTTTCTACATTAATCTGTATGCTTGTAACAATATCTTCCTTCCTTCCTTCCTTCCTTCCTTCCTTCCTTCCTTCCTTCCTTCCTTCC